CTCCGGAGGGGCGGCGGGAACTGCCCGGGAACGGCCCGGGAACGGCTCCGGAACGGCCCGGGAACGGCTCCGGAGGGGCGGCGGGAACGGCCCGGGAACGGCTCCGGAGGGGCGGCGGGAACTGCCCGGGAACGGCCCGGGAACGGCTCCGGAGGGGCGGCGGGAAGGTGCAAAAGGCAAAAGCCGCTTCCTCGCAGGGCTCCTGTTCCCCTCCAGCCCTATCAGGCATTAGCACTGACCATCTGCACTGAATTTGGCTCACCCTCCATTAAGGGGGTGCCGAGCCTGTGCTGGCCAAGAGGCTACTGAGGTACAAGCAGTGAGGATCCAGAGATATTTATTCCCTGGAGCCCTGCTGGGCTGTGGGCTCGATCCCCAGGTGAGCCTGGCAGGATAGCCCCAACAGGAGAGGCAGTTCAGGCAGAGCCTAGGCTGGAACAGACAGGACAGAACACAGAACACTGCTGGGGACTCAGGCAGGTGTCACCTTTCCCTGGGATTGGTGTGTCCACAGGACTGGTGCTGTGCTGCCAGCTGCCCTCTCCAGGAAAGGGCTGGGATCTCCTCTCCCAGCTGCCAGAGCAATCTAAGAAGGCAAAGCCAAACTATTGTAGGACCAAGCATGCCCTTTCTCAGCCCATAGCAGATATTTAAAACAAGAAACAGAGCAAGAAGAATCAATGAAGTACCAAAAAACCTTTATTTTTCCCCCAAACCATAACAACATTTGACATTATATTGATTTCCTCATATATTTGTTATTTCTCTACATTAGGAACCAGATACAGAAAATACAAACACGATCTGTTGAATCAAAGACGGCACAGCATTCCGTTAGAAAAAGAAACAAAAAAACTAGAGGAGCAAGATAGAAATGGTGAAAAATAGTCATTCCCTCCAGCCCAAACTTTCCAAGAATCATCATCAAAATAGAGCAGTGGAAGTAGCTTCTCTTTCTAAACGCACTTCTGCTTTAAGACAAAAGTTAGATTTATCTTTAGATTTTCAAAGTAAAAAAAATGTTAAACTATATTTCAAGCAATTTTGGAAGTTTGCATAGACCCATTCCCTTTCCAAAAATATCAGCCATCTCTCTATAGAATCTGATACAAATCGAGTGCGCCTCAGCCGAAGGTCACCAAGCTCAATTCACTTTCAAGAAAATAAAACATGATCTCCCCTTCCTTCCCCTCCCTCCCCCCACAAAAATATGGGCTCTACCGTTATTCCATGTGTTTGAGGCAAGTTACCAGGCTCAGCCGCATCCCTCGCTCAGAGTTCCATCCAAATTCATTTCCCAGGTTTCCACGGCCGCTGCCTCCCGGTGGGCACAGACGCTCTGGAGGCAGCGGGATCGGAGGGCGCGGGGAGGGGGCTGATGGACACAGCTCTCAGGAGGGAAACGGGGGGAATTTCGCATTCATCGATCCCTCCCCAGAGAGGAAGTGGCTTTTCAAGGACAAACACCTGCGACCAGGCAGAGTTTGTAGGAACTTGTCCCTGGGGACTGGCCTTGTCCAAAGGGCTCGGTCACCAGAGCAAGAACTCAGCTAGAGACCAGGTGGGGCAGCAGGGATGGGGCAGGAGGGGTGGAGGGGGGTCTGCAGCCCCCAGGTAAGGCAGCGAGGAGGGGAGGGGGAGCCCCTCGCCAGGAGGGGTTTAACTGCGGTGCTCTAGCGTACCTGGAGTGAGGTTTTCCCAGAGGTTCCTGGCAGCAGTGCAGAGACCAGCTGCACTGCCACCCGCTTAAAAAGAAACAGCGACGACAAAATAAATAAAAAGTCAACCCCTCCTATTCGGATGAGAATGAAATACTATTTCTACAGGCCTCCACCTGGTTCGGAACACTCTAAAAACTGAAGCAAATGTTTAAAAGGGCTTGTTAAACTTTCTGCAGGGGACAAAGTGATGTGGCAATGATGGGGGGAGAAATCACACGCCTGCTGCCCATCACTCCAAGGGTCAGAACAGCATGAGGCCCCCATTTAAAGTGCTGACCATACAAAAGATGATGATGAGAGAGCAACATCCTTCTCCCCCTTTTCCCATCACAATTTCCAATTGAAATCCATCTCCTTCACCAAGTAACGACTAAGCCTATTCTTTTGGACACTCAGTTTTATATCGGTTTTTAAAAAAGAAAAAAAGTTAGTAAAAAAGTTACACTGAATTTCCTAACGCTTTGCAATGTGCTTCCACCAACTAAAGGTCTAGAAACCAGGAGCAGCGCCCACACGTTTTGCCTGATCCCAAGACTGAAGCAGAGAGCCAGCTCTGCTCTCCGGGGCCAGCCAGGTGTGAGCAGCCCTGCTTGTCAGCATCAGAGACCCAGGGGATGCAGAGTCTTGCCAATAAGGTCCTTTTACTTGTTTAAGCCACCCCTGAATCCCCTGAGGAGGGGAACAATGAGGGGAAGAACATTCTCCCCCTAAGCCCCCCTGAAATAAAATATCAATGAAACAATAATGCATTTGAAAAACACCAGCCTGCTGGGTTTGTATAAAAAAAAATTCCATAAACTTCACAACAAAAAAGAAAAACCCAAAGGAAACTAGCCAGCGGTTTGGGTCTGGAAACTGATTCACTTCTTAAATGTTCAAAGTCCGAAGAGGAACAGGCAGCAGCGATGCCACAAGGAAAAAGTGCTCATGAGATGCAGCTTCCTGAGGCAGCAGTGAGTGTGTGGGACAAGTGACCCCACAGCCACCAGCTCGGGTGCCCACGGCTGCCTAGAGACTGCTGGGCATTGCTTGTGCTGGATGTGCAGCAGGAGCTCTGCATGGGATCTACAAATAGGAACAGACTGCTCCTTCCTCCCTCCAGGTCTGCTCCATGTGCCCCAGCTCTGCAGTGCAAGGCTGGATGACTAGGACTGCTTACTCACTCAAAACCAGGGGCAGGAGAGCTAAAAAGCCACACAAAGACCAGGATCTGTGGAGGCACTAGAGTGAAGACAAGACAGTTACCAGAGATGCACGCAGTGATGTGCCAAGCCACTGGAAGAGAAGCCAAAAACATGACCAGGTTGGCCACAGTGATGTGATGGAGCAGGTTATGCCTCTGCCAGCCTGGGAAGAAGAGACCAGTGCTCTCAAAAGCTCAACTGCTTCTCCTCTTGCTTTGCTGGGAAGATCCTCTTCCCTCTGTCCCACTGGTTTCGTGGCATGCTGAGCTGCCAGTGCCTTGGAGCAGCCAACTCTTGCCAATGGAGGCCAGAAGAATGTCCTGGGATCCCAACTGCTCTGACAGTGACTACCATTGTTTTTCATGGGAACAGAAGCAAAGCAGAAGAAGTGAGCTGGGTTTTGGCCTCTTTCCTGGCTTATGCTTGCTCCTTTCAAGTCCTGGTTGGATCTGATTTCCTGAGGGGCTTTGTTGGCCCCTGGGGAGCAGCCAGACCCTCAGCTCTGCACAGCCATGCACAGACAGGGCAGAACAGCCACTGCTGTCCGAGCCTCCTTCTGCCCTCACCCTGACCTGAGCAGACGGTCAGGCCAGGCCTGGCTTTCTGGCACTGCCCCAGGGAGAGAAAAAGACAAGCAGTTCTCTCCTTCCTGCAGACACGTGGCACCCCAGGAACAGGGCAGGATGCTCAGCAGCCTGCAAGTGAGTGCCAAACCTACCCAGGCTGAATGAAGAAGAGATCACCATTAAAAAAAAAACCTAGCAAGTGTGAAAGTGTGAAAGAGCTTTTGTTCTAGGCAGTTTCAAAAGATTCAACACTTTTTCCTTACATTAAAACCAAATCAAGGTGTTGTCTGTATCCCCTTTTTATCCTAATTCAAATTTAATTCCCTTTGAAGGCAAAGGGTGGAAAAGATGCATATCCTATATGTGGTCTGTCCAAACACAGGAAGAGACCTCTTGACTGAAACAGAGAAACCATCAAAACAGAGTATGCAACTGTATAGTTTTACCACACTGCTGAGCACCCTCCCCATGCAGCATCCTTAGCTAGAAGGGTAAAAAAAAAAGCTAAATCAAGGCCCTTTCATTCCTTGTTTCTCATTCTGCCAGATTCCCTTTTCCAGCAGCTCATCTGCATGCATTCTGGCCAAAGAGACCACAGTTAATGCCTTTTTTTTTTCCTCCTTTAAAAGAGGCTTTACAATAACTAAGAATTTGAACGACGTGATCAGTTACAAGTCTTTCCTGGCTGAACAGAATGAGTGTGTGCCTGTACACACACACACAGGTGTCAGAGGGGAGCCAGGTCCTGGAGTGTGGAATTGCTCCGAGGGCACGGCTGCTGAGTGCTACCACAGTACACTGGCAAAAGAGGAATGGGCACTACACACAAATAGCTTATCAGCTGAGGGGCTCTGTACAGGGAGGGCTGCAAGCACAGCCTGCTGCTGGCCCACAGCCGGGGGCTGCCCAGATCCTCGCTGGCAATTCGGCTGCCAGGAGAATCTCCACGTGGGAGCTGAAAGGGATCGACATTTCTGCCACACACTGCAAGGAAAAGTGTCAAACAACTGCAGAAACCAAACCCAAAGAAGAGCAATTGAAAGATCAACCAGAGAACAGTTTGAAGCCTTGTCAAAAGAATTCACTCACCACAGAGCAGGTCAGAACAGCTGCTGTGGCTAATGCAGCAGCAAACACCCCTTCTACCCTTGAAGGCAGAGACAGTAGCTTCTCCCCAGCCCCAGAAGGAACCAGCTCAGGCACAGATCTCTGCTGACAAGGCAAGAAAGGCAAAGCAACACCAAATCCCTTACTGGCCCAGGCCAAGAGAGGCAATTGACATCACCACCAAACAGAGACACCACTGCAGTCAACTACATCCAGCTCTGGTCCAGGGAAGGGCTGTCAGACAAGATTCATTTCACAGTCCAAGAAGGGCAGCTCCCTTCCTGAACCAATGAAACAAGAAAAAAAAAAAAAAAAAAAAAAAAAAAAAAAGAGGCTTTGTATTCCAAGCTCCAACAGGACTATTTGCTGAATCAGTCCAGCAAACACAGATTATACTCCTGGAATAGTGAGTAGAAGCCTCCTCCAGGTAAAATCTGTAACCTCTAAAGTGCTCCTGCTAATGCTAGTTGACGAACACCCCCTTCCATGCCCAGCAGTGGAAGGGCTGCTGCAGTCGGTGGTGTGATGAGCACTCACATTTAACCGTTCACCAACTCCCAGCTGGATTGCGGCAGTTTTCTGAAATGCACTTTTGGGAAGTATTTCCTATGAGAAGATGTTGTTTGGGGATGTGAGGATAGGAAGGTGAAGCGTACACCACAGCATACCTTGTTCAGTACAACCATTGCCTTGGGAAGTGATGTTCCCTTGCAGAGTCAATGGAATAAAGCATCCTGCAAGTGGCCATGTCACCGTGTCCCCAGCAAGCAGCTCTGGGTTTGGTTAGAATGGTTTCCCCCACCCCCAGTGGTTTGAAGAGTTCACAGTGGTATAACCCAATGTTTTGGGGAGACAGAAACTGAGAAGTCTCCTGCTGCAAAGTGAATGGGTGGAATGAGGGATGCAGATGAGCAACATCCTCTGGGACTAGCCCAAGGATAAGCCCCACAGACACCTTGTGTCTGAGCAGGAACAGGGGGAAGGCATGCACTGGAAGGACCAGGAAGCAGAGAAGGACAATGCCAATGCAGGGAAAGTGCATGTTCTGGAGTGGTCTTGGAGTAGTTCTGCAGTGCAAACGTGTGGGGAGGGGTGTGGAGAAATCCCTTCTGGAATGCTGCATGAAGAGAGGTAAAGGTTGGCATCCATGTGGCAGAGGACTGGGTAGGGGGCCTGTGTCCAGCAGCTCTACCCTGTTCTTCACATTTAGTGGGTTTCAATCACCACAGGCTCGTAAACTCCAGATGAGACCCTGGGGAGGCAGAGGGGGAGAGGGGCCAGTTACTTTCCACAGTCATTTTGAGCAACCAAGTTCTGATTCAGCGCTCTCCACTCTCAAACATCATCTTCTAAACCCACATAAAAACACTGCAGGTATCAGTGACAAGGAGTCAGCCTTGTGGGAAGCCAGTCCTTGGATTAGGGATAAAGAGGTGGCAAGTCAGCAACAGAGCCCTGGAGAGAGCTGGGTGTGACACATGAGCCCTTCTACAGGACACAGTAAAATGGGAGTATCCTACCCAAACGAAGAGCCAGAGTGCCTGGCTTTGCTGTGCTCCTGGCTTTGTTACCAACTTGATACATCTCTGTATTACCATGTCTGCTCTTTTTAATTCTACTGAAAAGATGCAATAAACCCTCCAACGCAACTGGCCAAAAGCAGTACTAAGAGCTATAGTGACAAGAAAAAGTTTTACTGCTTCAGAAGGCTTTCATGAGAGAACAAGCCCTCGATGATTATGGAAGAGGCAGGGAAAAAGGGACAATAAAAGGCAGGGAAAAGGGACTCCTTTCCCTTCCTTTCTCGCTCTGCTGCAGTTTTGCTGCAGGCCAGCAGGAGGCAAAGCTCCCTCCTTCAGGAACAAACGGGAACCAGCCTCTACCATTTTGTCCTTTCACTCCTCACTTCTGTTCCTGTGTCTAACAACCAGGATCCCATTATCCCTCTGAGCTCCTGCTGAGAACTGCATTCATACTCTAGTACAACTGCAGCCCGCCACCAAAGGGATCCCAGGGCTGTTAATATGGGAATAAAGCCACCATGTAGCACATGATGTTTAGAAATCTCTCCCGTAGCAAGAAGTGGAAGTTTCCTAGGTACAGAGCCCACTAATCTCTCTGGAGCCCCTCTAGAGAGGATTTTTTTTTTCTAAAACCCTCTAGGTTTTAGGAAACCTACCTGTTTCCCAGCTGAATACCACTCAGCGTAGTTGTTCCGTCTCTGCTCACAAACAACCTCAAGTTGCTGTCTGCAGATAGAAAAGGAAGACAGACATCAAAATCCAGAACTACTGAGGCTGCCAGGAACTCCCCTCCCAGACACACAATCAGCAAAGAACAAGTGTGTCTCAGCAGATGCACATCCACACTTTCTGGTGGTGTTCCCACAGTTGTTGAGCCCCTGGGAACTCCTTTCCTTGCTCCAAAAGGGAGCCTCCACACATGAAGCTTTGGAAGAATAAAAGCAGAGATATTAATTCAGCCATACTCCCCCAGCTGCCTTTTTTTAAGGCAATTCCATTGATGCAAATTCTTGGTCAGCTTACGCACATCTGAACAGATGAGGGGCCTCACACTGCTTTGGTAGAATCACTGGAGGAGAAGCTCAGTCTGTTCTGCTGGTGAGAGGCAGCTGCACTCAGTCTAGTTCTAACCCACGCTGAGAGAGGTAAAACTCCCCACATGGTAAGAGTGCTGCCATGTGCAACAATTTAAGGTGACTAATGATAAATTAACAAAGCACAGATAAGAAGCTAAGGCTCAAGTTTAAAACTTGACAGAGAAAACCTCAGATGGAAAAATCAGACTAGAGATTGATTTCTATGCTAAACTGGAAAATGAAAGTGAAAAGAAAAGCAGTTATATTATTAGTTTTCTCCTAACAGATGCTGTGACTGCAATGGAGAAAACCACTTCATAAGCTCTCTGACAGACCTGACCACCAGCACATGGTAACCCATGTTTCTGTAGAGATGTGCTGCTTCCCCTCTAGTTGTGCTCTTCTCTTTTGACAAATACCCTTGGCCTGACCTGGACAAAAGGCACTAGAGCAGTGCAGACAGCTGATGCAACTGATCTCCACTGCACTGAGAATCAGTGTTTTTCCTCTCTCTCCCTGCATGTTTCAGCTACTATTCAATCTCTGCTGTCATGTGTGGAACAGCAGCAAGTGCTATCTGTAAATACATGTACAGCTCTCACACCCACATGGTTAATCTACCACAGAAACATCCAGCAAGCACTGAAAGCAAACAGCTGTCAAAAGGAGAAGGGAGCCCATGGCAGATCAGATCTGACTGTAAATGCTTGGCAGCCTTGTGAAAGAACAACCCAGACATCCCCTCTGAGGCTTCTCCTCTCACCTTCAGTATTGCTGACATCTGTGAAGTCCTGACTCTGCATTATTTTCTCCACTATATCATCAGCATCGATCCTGGTGTCATCCACTCGGGTTGGGTGACTCTCCATTGAATCCTTTTTCCTCCTGGCAAGAGGAAATACAGGAAAAGCTAACTCAGCCTTTCAAGACACAGACTTCTACACACTGCCCTGCTTCTCTTGGCCACAATCTCCTCCTCAGTGGCCACAATCTGATCCGCTGCTGCCCGAAGACAAAGGAGCAGGTTCTCTCCTTCCCAGAGAAATGTCTTTGCTCCACGTTACTCACCGGGAGGGTCTGTCCAGCAGGAGGGGTGGTCGGGGGGGGCGAGGTGGCTTCTCCAGTTTGTGTTCCCTCTCCCCCTCGGGATACTCCACGGTCATGCTGAGCCCCCCGGAGGCGCTGCTGCTGGTGGACGTGTTCCTGCGGTGGGTCAGGTCGGACATGCTGGAGGAGCGGGAGTGCTCCGTGCTGTAACCTGCCAACACACAGGGATTGCAAACCTCATCTGCTCCCGTTCCTGGCAGCACAGCTAAAGGGCAGGGCAGCTTCACAGCAGCACTTCTGCCCCTGCACACAGAGGTTCAGACTTCTGTGAGCTCATCTGCAGAGACTCAGCAGGAGGCTGGTATTACAGAGCAGGGTGAGAGAGATGGCTGCAAATCACTCTCACAGGAGCTTGTTGCAGAAAGGAAAAGGGATGGCAGAGCTGTGTGGATCAGTGGTTACCAGAGATCTTGGACTGCTGGCTGGCATAGCTCGAGTTCCGTGAGTGCCCTGAGTGGAAAACTTCCTCTGGGCTGGACAGGTTCTGATCCGACTCTTCTGGGACACCTGCCAAGGAGAAGAGGACACTGCTCACACCATAACCAAGCCAGCACATGGTGCACTGATCAGATGAGAGTGGAGGCTGATCTTGGGATGACAGATCAAGGAAAGTGCAGTCTACTGGCCAGAGCCCTGCTGTACAGGGCTTACAAACACCCAGGGAGTAGGGAAGATCACAGTGAGCTTCTCTGACAAGTTTATCACTATTTCTATCCACCACATGAATTTACAAGCATCTCTGCACGCTTGTAGAATCTAGAAGGACAAGTAGTGTCTGAAACACTATCCATAGTTAAAAGCATCAAGCTAAGACCAAGTAAGCATCAGATGGCCATTGGCAGTAAAGTATTTCAACCTCTGGGTTTTTTTTCTGCATTACCTTTCCCTTTCTATTACTTGTGAGAGTCTGTAACATTTAAATAATCTCTGAATTTGCTAAAGGCACTTCAGCATAACCCCTGCTCCTTTGCAAGTCCTGCTTGTCTCTCTCACAGGAAGCTTATCCAGAAGTGCACAAATGTAACACATTAGCCAGCTTTTTATGAACACCACTTGCACCACGTGCTCTGTCACTGAGGGGATGAGACTCGAGTGCTATTTTGGTGCAGTGTATCTGCCTGCACATTTGGAATGTGCTGGGAAGAAAAAAAAAACTGATGTGAAAATGCAATGCCCTTGAAAACAGCTCATAGAGAAGCCAAAGAACTGCATCAGCAGCTGGAACAAGGCCACTAGACCTTAAACCAACCTCTAAAACCTTCAGAGGAACTTTTCTGGAAGATAAATCTGAACAACAGAATAACTGAGTATAGAACAATGGTAAGTGTCATTGAACACAGTGGAAAGCAGGGATGAGTGCAGTGCATGAATTATTAAATCCCCAGCAAAAAGAACAAATTGCTTTATCTCCACTAACAGAAATACACATGTGGCAAATATTCAACCTTCCTCTCCTCAGTTACACTTAGATGGCTTTGTTATTCTCAATATTCTTAATGAGTAATGGGGTTGAGGATGGGTGTGGGAAAACATGAAAAATAAAGAATTTCTGTGCTTTCAACTGCTGGGAAAAACAAAGGAGTGTCCAGACACAGACACACATTGCATGGCTCCAGGGTGGGCATTCAGACCTGAGCTGAGAATGGCAGTTCTTGGCTTGCTCTGGCGCAGGGAGCCAATTGTGGAGGAACTGCTGCTGCTGGTGGTTCCCTCACCCTTGCAGGTCAGCTGCAGAGTAGAGTCCTGCCCTGGGATGGTGATGGATTTGGCGGTGGAAGGAGGCCTGAAATCAGAAGGCAATGAGGTTACAGACTGCCAGGCAGGGAACAGCTATCATTCTGTCTATCCCACCCTTCTCAGTAGGGGGAAGCTGGCAGCCCTCTGAGCAGCAGCTCAAATGGGATGTTGGGTTTTGTTTTCCTACATGCAAGACTGGTGTCTTCCCTATCTTGGACTGCATTATAAGAAAAATCAAGTTTTTGAGGTAAATTAAAGCAAAAAGGGCCCATTCATTAATTTACATAGGATAACAGGCTCAGAACTTGCACTGTCCTCCAGGACACCATCCAGAGCTGCTCTTTCACTCCCAACACGTGTCCACTGGCCAGCTGGCTTCACAAACAGGAACCAGTTTGCTGTTGTCCCACTCTCAATTCCAGCTTCCTTTCTTTTACACCTCTTTGGCCAAAATGCAACCTTTTATCCCAGCAACCCTGTGCCCCTATGAGAGCACTTTTATGACAATCAAATGACCTTTCCCTTTTTTAACTGACTGTTAAACTCCTTTTCAGTGAAACTAAAGTGTTTTTCCAGCTGTCAGAATTATTTTTCTGGTTATTCCGTGAGCTCGCAACATCCCTTTGTAAATACTGACTGCAGGGCAGAGCTGTGAGTGCCTGGAGCCCCCTCCCTTCCTCCAAAAGTGCTTTTGGGTGGAAGCCACAGCATGTGCAGCGAGGCAAAGTGAATATTCCTGTTGGAGCCCTAACCTCCCTGTAGCATGAAGTCTGAACTGGAACTAAAGGATCATACTATGATTTTTAAGTGAGGAGAGAGAAATAAAATCTTTTGTCTCACTCAGAGCTCAGAGAGAAGATGTTACATGAAAGGGGATCTCTGCAGCATTTTGGAAGAGAGCATATTTAATGCAAGCAGCTGAATGGCTATAAAGCTTTCAGGAAACTCACAGCATGCCTTCACCAGGAAAAAACCCTCCCTAATCACCTTATCAGTGATTTGCATGCACCCAGGTGCTTGGGGGACTTTGCTTCATGGGTTTTTAAAGCTTTTACAACCTTAAGCAAGCAAACTGTTCCTGCAGCAGCTGTGGGAGCAGCCCTTTGGTCTGTCAGCTCAGCTGCTCTGCCCCTTCCAATAACCCCAGCAGGAGAAGGTTCATGGAGTGCTGCAAAGAAATTAGTGCTTGGAAATGATTTCCCAGCACAGTTTAATTCCTGTCTAACTCTAATGGATGTCATTTACCAGAAGCTCTACTGATCAAGGACTATTCCACATGCAAAGCTTCTATTTTTAGATATTTGAACATCATCAACATAAAAGGGAAAAGTGGGAATGACTGCAAAAATCCTTCAAGAAAATTAGGAGGTTTGACTTTCTGACTGAACTTACTTAGATTAAATGAATATTTATATCCTGTTCTGTGTAATTTTCAGGCATTCTAACAGTGGGACTTGCTTTCCTTGCAAAGAAGCAACAGGTATTTTTGTCAGACATTATTACCAGACATCCTAGTACCCTAGATTTAAAACATCTGTTACTGCTATAAATGTATAGTTTAAGATATACAAAACTTCTTTATTACACTTCCTTCTGAAGTAGCAATTTTACAGACTCAGAGGACACTGATTCTGGGTTTAAAAGTATCAGAAAATACTGCAGCATTATGAAAAGCCAGTCACAAAACAAACCTACCAAAAATTATGCAGCATTTTTAACAAGAATTTGAGTTACTTTACACACCCCAAGCTAACTCCTAAAATTAGACCTTTTAGCCCAGAATACAACTGCTACAAGAGCTGGCCTCAAGGTAAAGCTTTCTTCTCTCAGACTGTTGGGAGGCAATATGAAATATTCCTTTGGGCACCTGGCAGCCCTGCTGTGTAGTCACACCTTCCAGCATATCACAGCAGGGCTGAGATTTGTGATGCTGCACTGTGGTGTGAGGGAAGAGGTGGCCAGGATATTCATTGATTCATCAACAATTCTTTAAGCAGCAAAACTCCTCCACAGCCTGTACTTATTCTTTCCTATCATTATCCATTAAAAAACACCACATTACTGCAATTTCTCTGCTAATTAATACAAGTTGTGAGCCCTGAAGAAAAAAAAAAATTAAAATGATTCAGCCTTAAAGTATTTTTGTTGCTGTTTCAATCTCCCATTATATGTGCTGAAGCGTGTCCGCTTCCAAGACTGTTTTCTTTATTGACCTTTCTCCTCTTGGAGGTCAGTGAAACCAAGCCCAGAGCCATGAGAAATTCTATCCTTCAGGCAAAACATGAAGTTTGTAATCAAAATCTACTGGTTTCCAAAACCTAAGTTGCACCAGCCGGGAAAATACTGTGCACAGCAATCAAAGCTGGGAAATCCAGAGCAGAGAACAAAAACAATTACTAGCACAGGCTGGCTATACTTTTCTGGCTGATTCAACCAGTTTTACTGTATTTCCCAATATCTTTTCCCCTCTCTTCATCAATTTTAGTGTCTGCCCAGAATGGGGTAGAGCCAGGAACTCACGTTTTGAAGCAGGGGTCCCCAGAGAGCAGGGACATTCCGATCGTGACCTGGAGAGGAGACACAAGGCACATCATTAGCCATGCTGCACTGAGCTCCTCACTTCCCAACAGCCAGGAGGTCAAGGGCTAGGTGTAAAGATCAGCCAGATCTAGCTCCTTTCCCAAGGAAATCAGCTTCAGGGATTTAGCAAAGTATTTCCCTCCTTGGCATCAGTAACTCCAAGTGGCAGTGGCTCAGCAGGACACCACCAGGGCCACGCTGACAATGCATCGTAACAACCTTTTCCCTCCCTCCTGTTCCTGGTTTCTTTGTCAAGGGTCACTGCTTGGCCAAATCATTGCCAAATTATTGGAGGGCAACTCTGATAATGGGAAGCTTCTCAAGTCAGTCTAGCAGCACAAAAGCAAAATCACATCTCCACACATAACAGGACCTTCTCTCAGGCCTGGCACGGCACTGGGATCTCCCCAAAGTCCTAAATAGGTTTTCTACTGTGTAAGTTCTAGCTGTTGTACCTTTAGGATGGAGTTGTCCTGTCGGGTATTCTTAGTATCGTATCCTTCCAGCAAGCAGCAACGGACAGTGGATCCAGAGCCTGCAAATTCTGCCAGATTTAGATCAGCAAAGCCCAGCTGTAGCCAAGAAAACAATGGAGGGGAAGGTGAGAGAGCAGCCATTACACCATAAAGGTATACAAAATGTCACACAGAACAAAGGGAGAGAACACATCTGTGAGCAAGGACACTAACAGGAGCCAGGACGCAGAGTCGTGGCTGTGAAGTTTCCCTGTTCTTGAGCATGGACAGGGTCACATTCCTAATCCCAAGCTATATGGACACTTGGAGGCCTTCTGGAAGCCAAGCCCACATGGAGGAAGGGTGTACAGTAGTGGTGGTGGCCAGGACAGTGTTAACCAGCCTGCAGCCATTGCATAACCAAGGACATGGAAAGTACTAGGTCAACAACGTGGAAAAAACAGAATCACACATACACAAACATAATAAGGCACTCTTTGTATTGGGCCATCCCAGAATGCAGTGGAGCATGTGAACCAGAAGATGAAAGGATATTGTTACAGGGGGAAAGTGACACTATCCTGAAAAAAACAACTGAGACTATGGGCACAGGGAGCTGGAGGCCCAGAGCCATGTGGCACTGCCTGTGCCTCACCCCTCAGAGGCAGCTGCTGGGCTGGGCAGCTCCTCCTCAACACTGCTGAGGTTTAACTAGCCAGGGGTTTGTTTTGACAGGCAGAAGGGAAGAGAAATATTTGGAGAGATTTAGTTGTGAGCTCTCTAAACCTTCTCTAACAAATGGGAAGCAAACAGGGAAGGTGACAAAGCCGAAGATCACACGCATTTTCAAAAAGGGCACGGATCTCTCCAGAGTAAATACAAACACAATGAAGAGCACCTTTTTTTCCCTGCCCTAATCCCTGGTGTAATAACAGAGTGTTTCAAAGAAAAAGTTATAGCTTTTTTCATGCACAGCTTTAGGAACAGAAGGCAGTTGTGTCTCATCTCGTGTGATCAGGAAGACATGCTGTACTCTGTACGTGGCCAAAGCATCCAGGCGTGGAGCATCTGCGTCACATCTACAACAGGTCAGCTCCCAGGGGAACAGGGAGCACAGGTGGAGCAGCAGCAGGTTGTTCTGTGCTCTGCAGCACATCCCTTCTGCCCTGCTGTTGACAGCTGGATGACACAACTGAACTGAGAACCCCAACAGTAGCACCATCCTATGGAATTGTGGTGACTCTGTCAGCTGAGGGAGCTGATAGAGTCACAGTACAAAAACAGTCACTGCCAGAGGAACCCTGGTTCCCACTGTTCCAAGTCAAGAATCACGGTCTGCTCCAGACACATGACTGAGGGGGATACAGCAGCAAGATTAATATAGCTGCTTCCTTCATCCCATTCTCGAAGGGGAATTTCTGATTGCAAATTGAAAAAAAAAAAAAAAAAAAAAAAGTGGGATAGAGAGGGAACCTTTTATCAGCATAAAAAGAAGGAAAAAAAATAACCTTTCTCCCTCTCTTCTCACTTCTTAAGAATTCCTTTAATCCAAGTGTTTCTTCAGCCCTTGCTACAGAAATTTCTCTGTCTCTTCCAGCCAAGGGCTATGCTGTTTGCTAATTATTCACCAATAAGGAAAAAAACAGTGCATTATTATCTCTTAGAGATAAACAGGACAGAGGAAAGGCACACAGGGAGCTGCAATTCATCACTGGGACAAAAACACAGCACCACCACACCAGAACAGCATGGCACAGGGGTGGCTCAGACCCAGATCCCTCTTCCTCCACCACAGCACTAAATTCTGAGGAGATCAACACTGGAGCAGAGTGTGGGAGAACCCTCCAGCAACCCACATGGCATGCTGAGGTCAGAAGCTCTTTCAGGAAGCAGACTCCCAGTATATAGAGGAAAGATCCCTTAACAAAAGGATGTTTTCAGCTATAACCTTTCAGAATAATTTCCTCAGTTTTCCAGCCAGCTGATGGTGTTTCTTCCAGCTCAGGGAAAGAGTTTCCGCTCTATCAATCCTTCCTGTCGTCTTCCGCTCTGTCACCCCTGACACCAAGGTGACATTCACGTCAAAGCTGAAGGTGTGCAAGTCACTGGAAACTGCCTGGAGCACAAACAGCCCCTGCTGATGGGGGACCAGGTACAGAGGGCATTCACAAGTTTAATTTTCCTCTACATCTGCTGCCATGACTGGAGAAGTTCTCAGCTGAATTAGGATAGTTTAAAAAGGTGGGGACTCACGGTGTAAAATGGGAAAATAGCTGCATGGACATGCACCACAGACTTCTGCTAGAAACATTAGGAAGCCCAAATCAGTTCTGTCACGAGGACCTGCCTGGAACAAGCCTGGTCCACAGGGCAAGATTGCAATCACCCTTGTCTGGTGTGACATCTCTCATTTCTGAGCTGCTTCAGATCATCTTTGCTGAGAACACATCTGTCTTTTTCACAGGAAACCAAGCAAGATACCAGCCCAAGAGATAACAAGCACTTGAGATTGGGTCTCCAGTTCTGGGCTGGGGGAAGTAAGTCTCTTAAATGCCACTAAACACAACTGGAGACTGAGTGAAAAGGAAGTAGGTTAGAACATGACCTGAATAAGGTCTCCAGGTTAACTCCAATACAGAAATGTGCCTTCAGGCTTCCTTTAATTCTGCCTCCTGTGGAAAGTTTGAGGATGGACACTGCAGGAGGCAAAGGATGATGCATTTACTATGTCTCTTCCTCCAGCTATGCTTCTCTCCCTGAACATGCAGCTCTGCAGAATGAATAACCTTCCCACAGTGTGAATTTAGTGAAAGAGAAACTGATGATCCTAGAGACCATGTCCTAACTAGCAACCAAAAAGGAACGATGTGGGCAGCCACACTGCCTTCTCCCACCCAGCACAGCAGAACACAGGAGCTAGCACAGTACACCCTTCACAGCCAGTTGCCTCCATGGCCTCAGAAGGGATATTGATGAGAAGGAATTCTTACATGGCTGTGTTTGACCAAAGCATCTGTTTATTAGAAGCCAGCAGCAGTGACTCATTTGCAAACAAACATGATTTTGGGCACTGTGTGAGCTCAGCTTCTAAGCCAACATTGTCTCTTGATCCAACACAAGGAGGAGAAGGGGGTGGCCCATTGTCTGTCCCACAGCACAGACAAGAAAATGGAAGGAAGAGAAATCAAGACTAAGATCCCTGCTGATCCGTTTGGCTTTTGCCTCAGTGTCTCCTGTGCTTTGGCAGGCAGTGATTTCTGCTGCAGCCTCCTGCCTGCACTCCTGAGGCAGCGAGGTGCCTGCCTCAGCTGGCTGCTGCGCTCTGGAGAACAGAACTGGAGTCTGTTTCTTTATTAAAGACATGCTGCCAGAAGCCAGAGAGTTCACATCTGACTCAGAACTTCCCCAAAGTTTGAGGACATGCAGATCATCTCTCCAACCCCCATCTCAAATCCACATCCAGTGCAATCTGGATCCTGTCCCAGCAAGTCGAGTTTTTCGGGAAATCTCTTAACTCAGACTTAGCCTAAGAACTAATGAACATCTCTCCAGATTGGTCCACTCAGCAGCCGCTGGTTTCTAAAGGGTGTAAAGCACTAGCAGGAGACAAGACCATCATCACTCTGTTACATTTGCCCTTTCTGTGCTCTTACCTTTGAGTAGGTTTTTCCGCCCTTCAGCTCCTATATTGGGAGACAAAACAAAACAGGAAAAGCAGCTATTATATGTGCTGGGGCAACAGGGGGAAAGTCATTACTCAGTCCTGCAATCTGCTCTCTGGATTCACAAGCCTCTTTCTCAAGGGTTACCACCACCTTGGTGGCTCCCATCCTCCATCAAGGACTCTACTTGGAGAGAGAGGCTCCATTCCAGCATATCCTGTCCCAAACAATCTTTCCTTCCCACCACAGTACACACAAATTTTCCTGCTGCCAAAAAACAGCCAGTAACCAACTACTGGTGGCACTACCTGCCAGAAGCAAAGCTGGATGCTCACCTTACGGACAGAAACTCGGCAGATGCAGGGGTCCAGGAGTCCTGTGGCAGGGTTGGCACTCATTTTACACACAAAGGTAAATTTCTTTTTCCAGCGGACACAGTTTTCCTGAACTTCCTCTCTATGAGAATGAAAAAAAAAAAAAGAAAAAAAAGAAAAAAAGAAAATCAAAAATCAAATAAAGGTACGAAGCCGAATCAAGACCAACTATTAAGTATCTTTTTTAATGACTGGCATCCTAGCCCATAAAGATCCTCTACAACTGCTTGGTTCACCTGAAACTGCACCACACAAAACTGTTAAGTTAGCATCAAGCTTTTCACTAGTCAATGCAGGTAAAATCCACCCAGGTTACAGAAATACTAATCATCTCATCAACAGAATTTGCCTTTAAAACTCTCACAAGCTCTCTGACATTTCCTGCTCAGCCGGTTTAGCTCATTCACTGTCCGGCCTAGATGGAGCAAATCTCCATACCTGAACTGGGCTGAAGGTTCACAAGCTTATCTCCCTCCAGCATGTGTTTGTACAGCCTCTGCACAGCAAACTGCTGTGTGTCCTGGATGGTCTGTCCTTCCCTGCTCCTCAGGCTGGGACTGAACCGGTGAGGATGGCAGCTTGAGGGAGGGAGGACAAAAATACATGTGGAAATGCTCCTGGTGCAAGCAGACACGGTCACATGAAGCAAACACTGTGCTTCAAATGCTGCAGGGGTTCAGCTCGGGAAGAGGTGGTTTTGCTTGCACAGCTTCTGAGCAGACCATCCTGATCTCCTGGGTGAGTGGAGAAGCACATGGCTCTGGCATAGCCTGAGCCTGCAGGAGGAAGAGAAGAAGCCTTCCTGAATACAGGAACCACTTCAGGTACAGCTCTGGCTTCTGCACAGCCCTCAGGGGAAGCTGGATTTTACCTTTCCAAGGAGGCTGCTAAGGAGCCTGGAAAGGTGTGTGGGTCCTTCCACAGGGCTCTGGTTCCCCACTGAGCCTCTGCAGGACCTGATCCATTTATGGCTCAGAGCTTGGCCCTCAGCCAGTTCACTTCTCAAAGCAATGAGGCCTGTGGAGGAAGGGAAGGCACTGCTGACAGCTTCGAGGTTTGACTCTTATCTCTCCTAGCACAGGACAAAGGGGCAAGGACAGCTGATAAACTGTTTGCTTTAGCAGGGAAAGGGAGGCTTCCCACCATCTGACCCAGGCATGGGATTAGCAGCCATCCCATGGCAATCCCAGCCAAAGGGATTGGTGGCAAAGGGGAGAATGATCAGCCTTGATTGTGTCTCCAGCCCTTCTGGGAAGGAAAGGGAAGAAGCTGTAGCTCACGTTGCCGTTAGGGCAAGCTCAAGGAGAGTCCAACAGGACAGATCCAGGGACTCGATCCTGAGCCACAAAGTCCCTGCTAGTCCCCCAAGACATTCTGTGGGACTGAATGTGCCAGCCAAGACAGACACAGAGAACAGAAAAGGAGCAGCTGACAAATAACTGAAACCTGTAATCCTCTGTAATGCAGATAAAGGCTGATCATCCCTGTTTAAAACAAGAGAAAACAGAAGGCAAAAATTCCATCAAGGTAGAGAACTTAAATCCCTTCCAGACAGAGCCCAGGCTCGCTATTGAAGTCAGTAAAAAGTGAGACATCTAAGTGCCAAAAATACCTTTGAATCTGGGATTATTAATTCAAGATGAGATCTGGTTCTCATTACTCCATTCAATTTATCCCAGCTCTCTCAGACAGGAGGAAGAAACACATCCAGAGGGATTAAAAAGGTTTTGCCTATAATAAAATATTCACCATGCCAGCCAAATTAGGCATGTTATGTTTCATATATGGGTGCCTTAAACCTGCCTCAATAATAAGCATCTTAAATGACCTAAAGGAAGGAAAAACTCAAGATACAGGTGAGAAAAGGTATGCAACAGAATGGAAAAACACCTGTGAACACATGCTTCGGGAACACAAGGCAGGTACAGGGTGATGCAGGAAACACTGAATATTTTAGCAACATTAGTCACCTTTGGAAAGGAACTGCTATTTTCTAGAAAGCAAGGCTAATGCTGAAGCTACTGCTGACACCAGAGCTCCAAGTGAATGCTGGGAGTCAGCAACAAGATGTTTAATCAGACAGCAGCACAGTGGTGCACACCTTGTTCCCAACCCTGATCAGAGCTCTAACCCCTGCCAGACAAGAGCATGCACAGGATGAAGCTCCAGCTCCCAGAGCACAGCCTGGCTCCCACAGCTGTGGGATCAAGAGCTGCTCTAGCATTCGAGTTTCCTTACTCAGGAGTTCTTGCTTGTTTTACAATGCAGCCATGATTAAGCATCTGCTGGATGCTGCTAAGCCAAATGAAGGCTAATTACTTCAAAACGTAGTAAAAAGTACTGATTAGCAACGAAGAGCTCCATAGCTAATTTGCCTTTAGCGTAAGCTCTAACAGACATTCTGCTTCTTAATAAGGATGTCCATTGGCTTTCCAGAGCTGCTGTAGATACCACACAGTGCAAGGGATTAGAAACAGCATTTGGGGGTGTTATGTTACCCACAGCACTGTGATCATGAACCTGACCTGCAGGTGCACACACAGCTTGGAGGTTTTGAGCCTTTGGAACAGTTTGCACAGGGCAAGAAGGGGTTTATAAGATAAAATCCAGAGCTGCTTTCCAGTCACAAGTTTCACAATCATTCAATAATGAATTTCAACTTTTTATTTGTTTTTTTTTTTTACTTTAAAGGGTGGGGGCTGGGTCTGTATCATTAGACAAGCAAGCAACAGCTCTATTGTTTCAAACCGAACTCTAAGAAATTAGTTCCACATTTCCAAAAGATGGCATGTGGAGAAGCAATGGGCTTTGCCTATCCACCTCCCTTCGAGCTATCGTTAGGCTGGTAATTAGAGAACACTAAAATAGGAACAAAAAAAAAAAAAGAAGAACTCAGATGATGAGCAGTTTTGTATTTAGCCCTGCAATATTCTCTGATGTAGAATTAGAAACCATCATAGAGAAACAAAAAACACCCCAGAAGTACGGTGAGGGCTGCACTGAGAGAAGTCTTCTTTCACCCTGAGCACAAGGCAACTAAAAGTAAAGCAGAAATGAACAGCTTAAAACCAGAAGTGTCTAATTTTAAATTTTACTCTGTATTTGGAGAACCAGAAATAGTTCACACCAATGCCATGTCTAGGTGCCAATTCAACGGGTCTTCAGAAGTTTTATTTTAAAAAAAGCTGTCTGTATGATTTTGCAAAAAGACTCCCAGACGGTTGAATCTCTGCCAAGCTAAGCTTTGCCCTCTTCTGACTTCAGACTTATTCAAAGCTGTGTAATTACTCTTTCCAGACCAAAATATACCTCCTCAGAATAAACCAGTGCAGTCCTGTGGCAGCTTTTGTGAAAAGTGTTTTGGAAAGAGCTTTGTGAGGTTTTCTAATTCAAGAGCTGCTCATCTACCTCCAGCTGGAGGAACAGTTTTCTGTATCCCTCATCCATCATCCTACCCTTGAGAGAAGATTTACCAGAAAAAGAGCAGCTGGAAGATGCTTCACCATAGCATGGTGAGAATTCAAGTAATGGAACGATGCACAGCAGGGACCCACTGCTTCACCTGCCTTTGGAGAGGCAGCAGTGAACTCAGTGATTGCCTCCAAGGCCACTTTGGGTTGCGATTTCACACACAGCTCTGGAGAAAGGCAAAAAACCACAACAAACCTTAAAGAAGAGATGTTTCCCAACTGTGATTTACATGCCATGGACAGACTAGCACTGTTGCAGAAACTGCAAGGCTCACTCTGAATTCAAGCTGGTAAAGCAAACATTTCTAGAAAAAGGCCACGTACACAACCCATGCTATCTTGGGCTACTGTGAACCTCTCTCCCACATGAAAACCCAGCTAATGAAACACTAGAGCAGAGATTAAAACTTCTATTTACAGACTCAGAGCTGAGTTGTGGGTATCAACCTTCCAACACAACACCCGCTGAAACACTTTTGCTTTGCTGAAGCATTTAGAAAAGCAGATGTTTCACTCTTGCTTTATGGCAGTTGTCACACATAAGACAGTGTCATAAAAAGGCAACAGACTCACTGGAAGGGCTGCAGCAATAAAAAATAGCTTTTAATGTCAAGCATTTCACTAGAGCAATGTGTCTCAGTCTAATGTTTCATGCATGGGGCAAATGTGGGAAAACCTCAGGCTGAATGGAACAGTATAGAGATAAGCACACACAAAGAGCTTTTTATTCAGATTTACTCCTCCTTGTTACACAGAGGGGAAGGGTAAGCTTTCCTATTTCTGATGCTCAGTCCACATGCTCACTGTCCCCCCTCTGAGATGTGGATCTGTGTCAGAGCCTTCAAGCAGAACTAATCCCCCTCTCAGCAGACCTAGTCCTCTGCACCCTCCTCCCTGGTTCACCACTGCAGCAGGAGCAGCAATATCTTATCTGATAAGGCACAGGAGAGATAATACCATTTTAAAGAGGCTGCCAAGCCAACTCCCAGCTCAGATTCTTTTAAGTGCAATGAAAACCAGCCCTTCAAGGGGCCCTGACACACACCAGCAGCGGGTCTTCTGGGGAGCGAGGGAACACAATTCCTGTAATGCAGGTACAATCCCCTCAGTCATAGAGGGGGATAAAGAAACAAAAATATCATGTTATTTCATCAGATCGCACCTGAAAGGCATCTTCTACACCATTTCTTTACACAGCTCCACTTTCATCTGCAGAGACACAGCTAAAACAGTCTCATCTAATCTCCAGCCCTTCCAAAGGCTGAATTAGAGCAGAATCACTGACACTCCTGTGGCTTGGCAAAGCTGGGAACAATCCTGCATTTTGCTCCAGAGAAGACAGTTACTATTTTAACCAGGTTATCTAGTGCAAAGCTGTAGGAAAGACGTTTGGTAAGAGCAAGGAAAAATCCCTGAAATGCCTGTTTCGAAAGTGACTTTCTAAGATGCTCAGGAACCAGTATTTCCTTAGAAAGCAAAACTAATGCTAAAGCTACTACTGAGAGCTGCAAGTGAATGCTGGGAGGCAGCTACAAGTGGAAGATGTTCAATCAGACAGCAGCACAGTGGTGCACACCTTGTTCCCAACCCCGATCAGAGCGGCATTCACAGC